AATTTTATCAAAACTTTTGAGAGACACTTGGACCTCATTTGGGCGACTAGTAAATCTTTAGTAATTGTTTCTAACAAACTAGTCAAAGGACCACATTTGCAACACGCATGGACTGCCCCATGTTGGACCCGTTTATTTGAAAAGGCCCCAAAGCATACGTTGCACCCCAATGGGGATAATGTCCAGAATGGTTATTTTTTAATCACATATTTTTAGTATGTTTCTCTATACGAAATCAGCCTCTCACTCTGCTGCAATAGACCTCTCGATGGGAATATTTCTCTCTTTAGAAAGCTATAAAAGCTATATAGTGACCTAAATAATGGACAGAGGTTCTTTTCCTCTTATTCCATATATACAACGTTATGAATTTCGTAAGAATCTCATAAATGTCACATGTCTTAAAACCTATTTCAAACCTTAAAGATATAACTACTAATTCTAATTTAGTTGAACTTCTATTTTCTTTACCCAACCTCAACCCCACTTAAATTTTGCTAAATTTTATGATTCAGGAAGGACCCACTATGCACCATCAACTTTCTAGGGCCCTTGCATCAAATGTCTCCAAAAACAGAAAAATCATGCACAATAGACGAAGGTAAATGCAGCACGTGCTATGGGACGCACATGCCTAGATGTGTGTCCGTTGCCGTAACCAGCTTCATCATCTTTAAAGGTGGATGTAAAAAGGTCGTGGTCCCAACAACATCTATGAATCAGTGGTCTTAAAACATACCTCAAAAACTATTATTTTTTATTTTTTTAAGTTTTAATTTTCTATATTCATGTTCACCATATTATAGATTATAAACCCTTAAAAAAGTTTTTAAACCCAAAATCCATCTCTGAGATGAATTTAAGAGGGAGGACTCATATGGATAGATGAGTTGACCGACGCATATAAACCTTGTTCATAGATGTTGGCATGCAACACATGCAGATATCCACCATTGAATCTCAAGATAGACAGTACCAACGAATTTTTGCTATGATGACAGATGAATCGTTCCTAGGATGACAGATTCATCCCAATACTAAGTAGTACACCATATATAGAATGTGTAATGGTATGGTTGTGTGCTTGTTTATGTAATGAGTAATGATTCTATGAGATCTTCCCACACTTGTGTGTGTAGGACTCCAAATGATCACCATTAAATTTGATAGAAAAGTGATCATTCTAAAGATTTGTGTCAAATTTAACGGTGATCTTTTGAGTCCTACACACATAGGTGTGGGAGGGCCTCACAAGTCATTGCCTTAAGTAATTATACATGATTGCATGCATTCATTGTTTCTTTTTTATAAATATGTGTCAATACATTACATTTTCAAACAACTATAAAATCAAGTTTTCTAGGAAGTTGGTTGAGATTTGTGTGTAAGATTAGGTGTCGCCACTCGTGTACGGAAACAACGAATAAAAGTGGATTAATGTGAGCTAAGTGGATAGAGCCACCGGTTCTGGTTGAACTCACCAGGTCTGTGATTTGGATAAGTCGATTTGGTCAACTTTTTTTAAAAAATAAAGAGAAAAATATAGACAAAAATTCCCTAAAATCAACTCCCACTACCAAAAACTCTCCAAAATCAAAAGCACCGTAAATCATTCTAAAATAATGTTTCTGTAATAATTTTAAAATGCCTATCTGGCCCAATTGGGGATAAAATCAGACTGCGGTCCTGTTCCTAGTTGGACCGCCGGTTTAAACACTTTGTTTGTGTATGTTGTAGGGGCTGGATAGAGAATTGCAAAGGGTTGAGGTCAAGGTGGTAACACCACTGTGACTCACCTGCCGGTTCAGGTTTCCATGCTAACCACTTCTAAAAACTTACAAATGGTTTTTTTAAAAAAAACAAAACAAAACTAACCCACTACTAACATTTAACATTAAAAAAATTAAACAAATAAAAATAAAAATCTACAAGGGACAATGGATTTATACTAGTGAGCAAGGGTGGGAATTGGGAGGGTCCATGTTGAACCGACCGGATACGGATCTGGACCCAATAGGTCAGGGTTCACTTGACCTTGACCAAACCGGGTCTAGATCCGGGTCCAGTTCCATGGCGCCACTCAGGTATATAAATAATACTAATTACCAAATATAAAAGGGAAAAGTTTGTATACGGTTGCAACCTTAAAATATAGTACTACATATGCACCTCAAAAATCCATTGGAAAATATTGTTTTAATGTTGAAAAACACTCTAATTGACCATTTGAACATGGAGATGTATAAATATGAAAAAAAAGAGTCCAAAAAATAGTGCATCTTGCAACTAAACAGTCTATTTGCAAGTTTTTCATATGTTTATAGATCTACTTGATTTTAACCATTTCTAGAGTTTAAAATTTTATAATTAGATATGAAAATAGATTTTCAGACATTCTTAGGAATTTTTAACACAAAAAATACATGTTATAATAAAAATATACATGTTATGATGCGCACTTTAATTAGATTGAGGTTGCAACATTACAAAACCGCACCCAATATAAAATAAATGAAAAGTTTTTTATATCTTTTTTTATCAACCCGAACCCTATGGGTCTACACCAGGGTCCGGGTCTGGGTTGGATCCGGTTGTAACTTAGACCTAGTCGGAATAGAGAGAGACTCACGCTTTGGACGCCGCATAAACCGCCACCAAGGGAAAGGAAGGAGCAACCGAAGCCGCACCACTCCCTACGAAAACAATCGCCCCCCTCCGCCGCTTCACCATTCCATCCATCACAACTTTGGTGACCCCGGTACTACCCTCAACATTCACCCTAATGACCCTCTCAACAACCTCCGGGTCCGCCTCATCGAAAAACGTCGGATTAGGGTACGTAACCCCTACATTATTAACCAAAACCCCGATTTCGAGCCCTTTAATCCCCTCCCTAATCCTCTCCAAACCCGCCTCTAAATCAGCCGAAAAATCCACCACCACATTCTTCACTACACGCCCATATGTCGCCTCTATTTGGGCCGAAATTTCGGACAGCTTCAGTGAGTTTCGGCCCACCATGACCAAGTTGAGGCCGTTCCGGGCGAGCTCAAAGGCCAGGGCCTTGCCTATGCCGTCTGTTGGGCCTGTGATGATGGCCCATGGGCCGTAGGATCTTCTGAGGTTTTTGGGGGGTCTTAGGAAAGCGGCCCAGAGCCATTTGAGGAGAGATGAGAGAGTTTTGTAGAGAGAGAAAGAGCCTAAGATTAGGAGAGAGGGGAGAAATATAGAGGGCCTGTTGAGAAGAAAGAAGAGAGAGACAATGGGGAAGAAAAGGAGTTGCAGGAGGAGATGCATGATTACTTTTGTAGGAAACTGCTGGGTTTCATATAGAGGGTGCTTACATTCCAGCTCTAAACTTAACATTGTGGAAGCTCTTTTTCCATGGACATCTGTCATTTATTTTCGTACATATGTTGACTCTTGCTCTTATAAGGTTTTAGGTTTGAAAAAAAGAGGGCTGGCCCGGGACGACGCGTTGGTCCTATTCCGACTCTGAAACAGTTCATGAGCTAGACCTTACTTTTTTCAAGAGCCAAGCCCGGCCAGGCTGGGCTACCCGTTTCTATTTGAAATGATTTGAGGCATCCAATGCCATTTAAGAAGCAGGCATCTCTCCCCCAAACGCAAAGCTGACAATGCGACACTTCATCGTTTTGTAAATTGTTTCCTTTGCTTTAATTTTTGCTCTCTCTCGATCAAACATTCACAGAAAATCCAAGCGTTGTAATTCAATAAAGTGAACCTCCAATTAATAACCACTGCACCCACACAGGAAGGCACTCTAGGCTCAAGTTAGTGTTACGCCTGTGACGGTCATTATAGTCAACTCAAAACTTATCATCATAAATAGCCGGGAGGAGAAATTACCAAAAAAAAAAAATATCTAAGATTACACTTTTTAATGCAATTTACTCTCAACTTAATTTTTTTCTCAAAATGTCTTTCCCATACACAAAAATCATTTTGAACGAATCTAGTGTTGACTTTTGGACCTAGTAGTACATTCACCGGCACTTGACAACACTTTGCAACTACCTTACCACCCTTTACAATGGTTGAACCGCCCTTTGCAACTGCTTGACCACCCTTTGCAACTGCCTGACCACCTTTGCAACTGTCGAACCTCCTTTGCAACTACTTGACCAACCTTTGCAATCTTTGCAACTGTCGACCGCCTTGCAACTGCTGGATCGTTGTTTTCAATTGTGGAACCGCATTTTACATACATTCACCGCATCCGCATTGCAACTGCCGGATCGTTGTTTTCAATTGTCGAAACCACACTTTACCCACAGTCCTGCAAGCGCTACTACCATTTACTACCATAATGCATCCGCATTGCAACTGCCAAATCATTGTTTTCAATTGTGGAACCACACTTTACCCACAGTCCTGGAAGCGCTACTACCTTATCGCATAAATGGTACCGAAGCCCCCTACTTTGGTGGTATAGAAGAGAGAGAGGCGTGGATACGATAGAAGTACGGGGGTTAGTTTAGATTTTTTTTTTTTTTTTAATTTGATTAAGGGGTTTTTGCATAGAAAATATATTTTGAAAAAAAAAATAAGAAAAAAACATTAAGTTCGAAATAAGTTGCAAGAAAGTGTAGTTTTGAAGGTTTTTTTTTAATTTTCCCAACTTTTTAACCATCACGGTTGCAAGAGAAGTGTGATAGATTTGCACCATTCAACATCATGGTTTTACTTGGAACGTGCTGTATCAAATGAACTGAACCATCATAGTAGTGTTTGGGCCACGATAGGGTATCACGGTTGTGCGAGTACCGTGATGCTTGCACCTAAAAATCATGGTTCAATAAGAACCATGAAGCACGCATCAGTTATGCTAGTACCCGCATCAGTTATGCTAGTACCATGGTTCTCTCTATGTGAATCACAGTTGACTTAAGCTATCCATCTTCACTTGAGAATAACCGTTCACTTAGAACGGCAAAGATCTAAAAATGCCCCCCATAAATTATCTAAGACCATCACGGTTTGACTTAATTGTGATGACTTTTTCTCTGATGTAATACTCTCGAGAAGGGTAGTTTGATCACAAAATCCCAAACGATGGTATAAAAAGGTGTGAGTGAGGTTTGGAACGATTTAGTTTTTTTTTTTTAATAACCCAACAAAAGAGATATTTTCTATAATTTTTCAAAAAAAACCTTGATAGGCCGAACTAGGGCTTGGCCTTGGTCCTAACCTTTGCCTGCCCTCAGGCCACATTTTGAGGGCCAAGCTGACCAGGCTAGGCAGGGCCACCCAGCTCATTGCCACCCCTACTCACGGGATAAAATGAAGGTGGGGTAAAACAGAAATGAAAGAAAAGTTGTATAGAAAATTAAAACAATAAAATATAACAAATATCGAGGTTCCTGTAGTGGGTTAATCTTTATTTTCATGAGATAGCAACTTTTCTCTTATGTGGATCAGAAAAACATCAACTATGATCCACGATCTATTTGAAAATAAGTTGACTCTGAACATGACAAGTGAGCAGAAGCAATAAACAGCACATGATGTTATGCAGAACTCTTGGGTTTTATATTCTTGTGGAAAGAGTTTATATCGAGTTGAGGCTCTAAACAATCAAATTAGAGCCCACCTCAAAAATTTCATTAGAAAAAGTTGTTTTGATATTTAAATATCTTCAAATTAATCATTTCGATATCAAGCTACGCGGACTTGAAAAAAACAAATAGATTTTAAGTTTTAGAAATAGTGCATCTTGTAACGTATTTTTGGACCGTCAATTTTCAAGATTATTAAGTTTTCATTGATCTGTTCAATCTACACTATTTTTTAAGCTTTAAATTTTATAATAAAAGATAAAAAATATATTTTGAGGCTATCACAAAATTTCTAATATTGAAACCACATTGCTCGACATTATTTGAAGGTGCGCTTTATTTTGATTGTTTAGAGCCTCGGCTCTATACAAACCGCACCCTAATCTTACATAGATAAGTCTCCTCCGACTACAACGTTATTTCTTAGGTAACCGTGCCCTTTCTTAATACAGTAAACCCGAGTTAACATGTTTATGCTGCATGCAATATTACTATCAAGTAGGACAATATCATCTTTATACATGGGTATGATAATTAGATAAATATATGCAGAACAACAATCCAATGCATCGCAACGGTTGTATCATAGTATAATGCAACGATACTTTTAGAAAATCATGTTTGTGGTATTTGTATGATACCAAATTTTACACACACATTCTCTTCATCTCAATAATCAATCCCCCTCTCCCAAAAAAAGTTTAAGTTGAACTCTAAATATGGTCAAAATGAGTCCTCTCCAAAAACAAATCTAAACCATTTATTTTGTAAATTTCAAGATCTTAGCCTTTATAGACTCAAAATCATTTTTTTTCTTTTTTAACAT